ATGCTATAATGAGTTAAATTGAAATTCCCCATGAGAGTCACATTTCCGAAAGACTGCAAGAGTTGCTTGTTCCCAATATGTGGAAACCACAATATCAGAATTTCAAATTGTTAAGGGGCCTTTTGACTTGAGAAAGCAGGAAATCGCGTTATTAAAATATAATTTGGCCATGGAGTAGTTTCCACATGGACTAGTTTACGATAAAAAGATTTCGATTTTGTGAACATTCTCTTTAGCAATTTGGAGATTTTCAAATGAGCCGACAGAAAGATGACAACAATTGGTTGTGTGTTGTTCTCCTACAGCCACACAGCAGTCTGGAACGTGTCTGTGGGTTAAAATTTAATCTGTGCATTAGAAATTTTTAATAACTAGCATGGAAATTCATCTGAGCAAAACCTACATTACAAAATTATGGAGCTGCTGATTTAATCCAGAAACTGAGGTTTATAATGTATTATATGAATTTCATTTCTTCTTGAATCCCTGTACCATAGCATGGTCACCCTGCCCCCATCAGCACAGACCTTCGCTTTCTTCCTGTCCTGGCACAAAACAATCCTGCCCCCACCCGGAAGTCTTCGGGTCCCTGCCCACCTCTCCATCTTTGATCTACCCATTCTCCCTCTTCCCTCTTTTTTTGGTGATCGTATTGGTTTTTAAAATTTATTGATTTGTAAAAATTTATAAACAGTAAAATGCACAGATCTTCAGTGTACCCTGATGACTTTTGACAAATGTTTACTCTCTTGTTACTATCTCTCAAATCAATATATAGACTTTTTATATCCCAGAAATGTCCTTCAGGCCCATTTCCAGTCAATATCCCCACCCTCTGTACACAAAGGCAATGGCTGTTTAGATTTCTAGCACCATAAATTGGTTTTGCCCAATCTGAAATCTCACACAAACAGAATCACGCATTATGTTCTCTGTTGCGTCTGACTTTTTGGCTCCACGTTTATGCCTGCAAGACTCAGACATGTTGCTGCATATTTGAGCAATTCTTTTCCTTGTTTCATGGTTTCCTATTGTACCGGGGACTATTATGAATGAAGTTGCTATAAACATTCCCACACAAGACTTTTTTTTAACACCTGCTTTTGTTGCTGTTGGGCTTTTACCTAAGAGTAAAATTACTGGGTCGCAGAGCAGTGCATGCTTATCCTGAGCATGCACGCTGATGCTCCAGCCTGACTCGACATTTTTTAGTTCTTAAGAAGTGCCCACTCTCAATCTTTGAGACCTCACACATGTACCTCTCCCTTCTCCTAGGTGATCCTACCCATCCTTCGGGTCTTGATTTGGAGGTGATATATCAAGGAGCTTTCCCTGACTTCTACAGAAATCCACCAGGTTCTCTCTGCGAGGAGCTTCCATAAATCCTGTTATCAGAAGCTCATGCAACGGCATGCTTCTAATCTCTGTCTTTCTTCCAGCTTCTAACGTCCAAGGGGGAAGTATTGTCTGTGTGGTCCACAGCTGATAATTATGCCTGATTCGATTATCGCTCAGTACCGGCCTCTTACATGCTGAATGCTCCATTAACTCCTGTCGGACAGATGGATAGATTAACGAATGGGAAGATGAAGAGTCTTGGGGATAGCTTAGCTAGTTCAGTGGTTTTCAAACTATCCTCCGTGGAACTCTTATGGCTTCTCCCATCCCCCTTGGAAATCACTAGGGTACGTGGTGGTAGGCAGAAGGGGCCAAAATGGCTAGGGACCACTTAACCAGGTTCAATCAAAGGGACTTGTTTATTTTAATCTAATTTATATATCACACTTCCATGTAATATTTCATTGCAAGATAATACGCTTTAAAAATAATAATAACTTTTATAATCACTGCTCTGGTCCTGGGCTCCCAAACTCAAATGTCATCAGGGGCCAGAAAGAGTAATGTAACAAGTCAAGTAGGCAAGTGTCTTTGCACATTCAACACAGGCAGATAATTTTCACTTCCATAAGGAACTATGTTCTCTCTCATTATTCTTGAAACACACAGTCCACTCGATGTAATGCTCATTTACCTATTTTGATAGCATAGCTCTGGAAAAATGTTTATCCAAAAAAAAAAAAACAACATAAAAACAAAAAAAAACTTCAGCAAAAACAAAATAAAAATAGCTGGTCAAATAGGATTATAAGCAGTAAATAATAGTCATTTTTAAAGTGGGCAAAAGACCTTAATAGACATTTTTCCAAAGAAGATATTTGAATGCCCAACAGGTACATAAAAAGGTGCTTAGCATCGCTAGCCATTAGAGAAATGCAAACCAAAACCACAATGACATATCACTTCACACCTGTTAGAATAGCCGTCATCGAAAAGACAAGAGGTAACAATTGTTAGCAAGGGAAAAAGGGAACTCTTGTGAGCTATTGGTAGAAATGTAAATTGGTATGCCCACTATGGAAAACAGTGTGGAGGATCCTCAAAAAACGAAAAATTAAACTATCATATATAATGTAGTTGTGTCTATATGTAATGAAATTTATTCAGCCATAAAAAGATGATGAGGAAACCCTGCTATTTACAACATGGATAGACCTTGAAGAAATTAGGCTAAGAAAAATCAGTGAAACAGAAAAAGACAAATACTGTATGACCTCATTTACATATAGAATCTAAAAGAAAAAACCCACAAAACGCATAGAAAAAGAGATCACATTAGTGATTACCTTGGGGAAGGGGCATTGAAGGAAGGCAGTCAAAAGGTAGAAACTTCCAATTGTAAGATAAATAATTACTAGGGATATGATGCACAGCATGAAGACTACAGCCACCACTGTGTAAGAGATGGAGGAAAAACAGTAAATCCTGAGAACTTTCCTTACCAGGAGAAAATTATTTTTTCTTCATCTCTTTGTATTGTATCTATATGGATGGGTGTTAACGAAACATGCTACCATAATCATTTCATAATATATAAGTCAGACCTTTATGCCATATACCTAAAACTTACACAGTGATATATGTCGATTATGTCTCAATAAAATTGAAACAAAACTGTTCATTTTTAGTGTCAGCGGGACCACAGGGAGTGGTAGAGATCATACCCCATCTGTCTCAGAGGGGCAGCTTCATTTTAGTTTCAGCCACTTGCTGGACAGTGTGACCACGTCTTCTGAGTTTACAAGATAAATCAAGGGGTTTATCAAAAGCTTTTTTCACAGATAGTGCAAAGTAACAGCAAAGTGGCAGAGCATTTGACACAGTCAGAGGACGTGTTCCAGGCTTTTGGAGGGCTAGTGACTCGTACACCATTTACAATGCACGAACTGTGGATCGCCGCCATGAACCATCAAAGCAAACTCATTAACTTTCTTTGTGAAAGTTATGGTCTATATCTAAATAGGATCAAAGGCAGCAGCAGTAATAGCCACCACGTGCTCGATGCCGAATGTGTGCTGGACGTGGGTGAAGTGATTTACATGCAGGCTGCTGTTTAATTCTCACCGTGGCCCTTCAAGGAAGCTACAATCCCATCATGACCCCCATTTCCCAAATTACAAAGCGTAGGCTCAGAGAGTTACCTGCCCAAAGTTCTTAGCAGGTGAATGATTAAAGCAGGATCCCAACCCACTCTGCCGCCCACGAGCCGCCAAGTGGCCGCGTTCACTTTTCCTTCACCGTGCTCTTCTAGGTAAAATTCTGTATTTATTTATTAGAGGACGGTGAACTCGGGAGCCAGAATCCTTTTGTGTGGCTCTCGTCACCCACCATCTGCCTGACACAGAAGAAGTGCTCAGCGAGACGGATTATTATTAAACATCCAAACAAATAAGCACACGTCTTTAAATGTCTTCGATGTCGGTTGTCAGATTGTCAGAAGCCAGACTAGTGTGCCAGAACCTGGACTGGTAGGCTGCACGAATTTGCTTTAGAAAGACAAATGATGATTGAACAAAGACTGTTCAGTTTTCCGAACAAGTCCTTTCAGGGGCATCACGTACAATGAATTTAAGAATTTGGGAGATTGAAAATTATTTGAGCATGCGTGATCTAAGCAGCTCCCAAATAAAGACCAAGAAGAGGAGGAGACATGGCGGCATGGATATTGTGGGGGGTGGGGGGTGGGCAAAGGGTTCAATGAGAAAACGGAGCTCAGAATCCACCATCGTTCCCCGGCTGCCACCTGTGGATGGAGGTGTCTGTGTGCCACGCAGCCAGCAGCTTCAACGGCGAGATGGGAATAAGCAAGGTCTGTGTGTTCCCATGGGTGCTCAACCAATAGGGTTCATACTTTGTTCTTTGTTCATCCTTCACTTCCAAACGCTTAAACTAAAAACACTGACACATTGCACTGTATCATTTAATAATCAGAGTACGAGTGTACTGTGATGTCATTTGTAGGATCTGGGACAGATGTTTTGCGGGAAGAGAGGGAAGGAAAAGCATCTTAAATATTTCTTTTTGCCTAAAGCCCTCCCTCGCACCTGACTCCGGGGCTTCTCTTGGCCTTACCAAACACCGCTGTGTGAAAATTAAATGATTAAAAAATTTAAAAAAAAATGACTCTGAGACTTCAGCACAACACTTAGATGCAAAATGGCACTGAACCCGGTGTGGCTCTACGCTGTCTTCATGTTTCTATGGACCGAGTCGCTGTTTGCTAAGGTAGCTGCGTGTCACCCCCACAGGAAAGCAGTGTGGAAGATGCTCCCTGCCCGTCATGCTTAGCAGCATCTCTGGGTTTCGATGTACCTCAATAGTCACACATGCCGCATCTCACTGGCAAATCCTGCTGCAAAAGTTAAGATGAGCATTCTTGTTATTTTTTTACCATCTCTCACGTTTATGAGAAGGTAGAGATAGTTCACAACAATTAGGAGGTCGGGAGGGTTCCGGAAGGCACAGAGATGCGCTCCGCCAGCCACAGAACTGAACCCTTTGGAACATTTAAAGTGTAATAAAACAGCAGGATGGTTTATTTGATAATCAATATCAAATCCGAAGCGTTTTGTATAATTTTGAAAGAATGAGAGACAAGCGCATCCTTGACTTGGTAACATTTATTCAATATTCTTTGAAATTAGCAAGAATCAGAAGAAGCACATATCAATCAAATACAGCCACAAAAAATGTCCCGGGTATAAATAAAGATGCACTATGAGAAATACTCACTACCGAAGGAACCAGGACTCTCTTACGTTTACTACCTCTTAGCGACTAACACCGACGTAAATTTAACTTACTCACGATATAAACCCCTCGACTTGTTAAAGAAAATATAGATTCAATTCGATCATGACTTGCTTCGCTAGGCCCTTTCGTTACGCACGTTTTCAAGGCCTAGCTAGAAGACTGAAAACGACAAAAACGAACCGAAACGGTGTTTTCGCAAGGTTCAACAAAACAGTGCAGAAACAAGCTACTTACCCATGCACAGAATAAGGCAGAGGCTAATTTCATTCAGGTTAGGAATAATAAATTTAACTAGCTTCTTTTTCACAAAACAAAACACTTCAGACTTCTTTTTTAAGTAACGGGTATATTGTTCTATGCATCATACTCTACATGGTTTCCTAACTCTACTCAGAAAGCCAGCACTGGCATATCAAACTGAAACTTACCGTTGATTAGACTTACTCTGCACCAGCCACAGAAATTAATCTGGGTGTCATGACACTGTCTACCATGAAAAGACCACACACTAGTTGCAGCATAGGTTTTAGAGAGCCGAAAGTACATTAAAATGTAGTCTATGGACTCCTCAAATTCTGTTTTTAAAATATTTTTTTTTCCAAACTAAAAGCTGCAGAAAATTAGTTCTTAAATAGTCTACTGAAAACTCTTGAGCAGCTAACATTTTCAATTTCTTAAGCTTTTTATTTTCTTAAAAATATTTAAATGAGGGTGGTACCCCATCTTTTTGAAAAATAATCCCCAAAAAATGATTACAAATCTTTTGTTTTAATCAGTGTGACCAAGGGTTTGTCATCCGGGCTGTAATCCTCGTAGGCTATGGGGGTCACGTCATACATCGCAGGCCGGGCTTTCTTTCCAAACCTAAAATCACAGGGAGAGAGAACTCTGGTTAGATATATACTGGATCTCAAGTCCTGTTAAAGGCAAATGAAGAGAAAAACTTATATTCAAGAATCAAGTGGAACTATAAAAATTCCCTAAAGAATATATTCTCTAGCAAGTATGGAAATTTGAGACTTCCTCATAGCAACAATGAATGAGTATAAATATTAGTCTTTGGTGCAGGAGGTGAGAAATAGATTTCAACAAACGTAGAGTCCAAATTAATGTCGGCGCTTGTAGGTTGGATCTTGGCAAAGCGATCAGGCGTGACGGCTCTACAATGGGTTTTAAAAGAACGGGTAGTGATTTGTCTTTTTCTTCTGAGGCTCATAGGGATTTGGAGAGGCAAGTTTTTTTTACATCCACTCTAGAGCCTGGAATGCACAATGGCAGGGTGGCCTTCCCTGGACGGTGGACAGACAGACGGCTCCTCCCATGGGACTTACAGAAGGGCTGTGTGAAGGCTCGGTGGGCTTCTGAGGTTCCAACATAAGGAATCGGTAGAGGGAGGAAATGACTTCAGATAAGGAGGTGTTTGTCTACAAAACATGCCAGCACCCACCATCCGATCCCACCCGCCTTTACTCCCCAACAGCCACATATACACGTGAGCCACTGTTTTTTACTCTGAGCACAAAGCCATTGTCCCAACGGATCTGTATATTATATTTCAAAAGCCCCTTGACAGCAGGACTGATGAGCAGAAGCCGGGAGTGTCGAAATCCAATTTCAGGACTTCCTAACTAACCAGTGCTAAGTGGCGATCATTAAAAATAAAGCCGATTCAACTTCTGGGTGGTCTCTTTCATTCAAGACCTCACCTTCCCTAAAAGTCCCTGGAGAGCACTATGATTTAAACAATCTTACACAGTACCTTGCCACCCCTCCTGCCTTTTATAGACAACTTTTTTTAACTGTTTCAAGTCCAACGAGGCTCATGAAAAAGGAAATTTTTAAAGAGCTCCAATTTTAAAAACGTTGGTAAGATGAGCACCCTAGGACATCAGAGGCTTATTCACTGCAGCTTACAGCTCGTCTCTTCGCCTTTCCTATTTCTTCCTTTGATGTCTGGGAGAGTCTGTCTTCTCACATAGAGAGATGAGAAATAGAATCGAATGGGAAATGAGAAACGTTGCATTCTTCCCATGACCTTTTATTTTTAAACATTCTTCAATCTAGTATTCCTGAAATTCCTTCAGGAGCGCCAAGGCATAAATCATGCCAGGTGGGCACCAGGCAAAATGCAGAGATAAAGAGTGAAAGCCTTCTGCCACCGAGAAGCCCACAGCTTTTACTGCAATATTTAAAAGCCTTCGGTAAAATCGTGTCTAAAATGCGAAATCTTCCTGAAGGTCGGGATTGCGTGCGCATAAATATGGACTGGGCTCCAGCCTGCGGCCAGTTTATTTACATTGAGTGAGGCCCTCCTAACCTGAGACCAGGAAAGGGGGCAACGGTACAGAAGCCAATCGGATCTTCACACTTTCTCCCAAGTCTGAAAATTGCAGAGGGTGCTTTAAGGTGCAAACGTTTTGACAGTGTATTTCTCCTAAAACAGCAAGGTACGTTGGTAACAAAATGCCACTAAAAATATTAATTTAATTAATTTCGATCGTATAAAAAAACAGAAGCTAGACAAAATTATAATGTAGACCAAGGGCTAGTTCACGATAGCCTGCAAGCCGGTTCCAACCGGTGGCCTATTTTTTAAATCCGGTTTTATTGGAACAAAGTCGTGTCCATTCATGATGCCGCTGCTTCCACACCACCGGGCAGAGCTGAGTCGTCACAGAGACCCAAAGACTGGATGGGCCCCAAAGTAGCATATTGTGAGGCCCTTCACGAAGACTGTAAGAATCACTCACAATCCCTCTCTCCAAAGGATGTGACACAGGTGTCCGGCCATGTTAGCCATCACAGAAACACTGAAAGAGTCGTGGCAGCAGCAGTATCAACGTCACTGGCATCTGAACCTATTTGGTGACAAGCCTTGTATACCTAATTGCACTAGGAAAACAAAAGCTATGGCAACCAGTCGTAAGGCCGATCAAAGAGCGCACCTTCTTCTAGTTCATACTCCCCTGAAAGTCAACAGCTAAACCAATATCAGGGAGAAAGTCAGGGGCATCTGACCTTGAAAAAGGCCCAAATCAGGAGAGGCTATTCGAGAAAAAGCAATTACGTCCTTTCACAGCTCTTTTTTTTTTCTGTGATCAGGCGCTTATAGCTCGTGGAGCAGTGAGCAGTCAGATGCGACCTCAGCTCCATCACTTGGAGAATCATAGCTTCATTCCTGCCAGTCAGTTACAAACTCTCTCCAGCCTGAGTGTAAGCAAAGCAGCCATAGGACAGATGACTCTTAGGACAAGAGAGAGAGGGGCCTCCTTCTGAACCCAGCGCCAGCACCAACTGATTGTTGACATCACCAGACACTTTCTCAGTCACTCGTGAATGTCACAGATGACGCACTGGAGTGTTTGTCCTGCGCGGATGCTAAACTGCAGTCATTCTGATCCAATGTCACCTCTAGGATGGGAGACAGACCATGAAATGAACATCAGGTAGAGGCCGCTGCTGAAAACTAGGGAGACGGTAATATTAAAAAGACTATAGTTTTGTCAGTGCCTTTCTAGGGTTTCTAGGAAAAGGAAGTAAAAAGGATCAACCAGCCAGGGACCCAGGCAGGGTGTCTAAAGAGCCATGCTGTAAAAAGCATAGGTTGAAACTAAATAAATCTTTAGACGAGAGCATTCTCAGATATTTGGGAGGGTATTGCATTAATTTCAATGGTTTTATCTGCAGTCACTGGTGCATGTTTGGTTAGGAATTCTGCAGTAAGTATTTTTTGGTAAAAATTGGCACCAAATCAGAACCAGGTTTGTAAATCTGTTCAAGTTTTTCCTTTCCTTCCAAGAGTATTCAGTTAAATATCTTCCCAGTAGGCTCTATAAGCAGGGAGCCCAGAAGAATTTATCTTAAACTATTCTGAAGCTGAAATAAAATATTCTTCCTCTTGAATGCAAAAGGATCTTACTTAGCCAGATATCGCTCTAAGAGTGGAAAGGATCTGATTTCTCAGGTACCCAGGACATCCCAGGATCAAGCCAGGGATTCTGCTCTTTCTGGTGAGCTAAATCATTCCACGAAGACTCTTGAGCAACAAAGAAACTTGTCCATTCTCATCGCCTTTTCACATCGTCTACTCTCATCCGGTGATTTCAGGATACTGCAAATACTCCCGCGGGCTGGAACCACTTACTAAGCTGGTGCCCTGGGATGAATCTGTCTCTCAGGCAGATGAAGCCAGCCCCTGCCAACCACGAACCAAGATCATCCATTCATTTCAGACTAAATTTTAGTAAGACTTCAAGGGTCTGTTATGTGCCAGGACCCACAGGACATGTAGTAATAAAAGCCGCTGCCCATTACGCACGAGCTAGTGAAGGGAAGAGTCAAATAAACAATTAAGATGAGATTTTCAGGGACTGGCCTCAGGGCTTTCTAGAAACTGACGATGCTGAGTTGATGCTTAAAGAAAGGAGCCCTTGATGCGCAGCTGTGCGGGGCCCGACTTGAAAAGGGTTGAACTCGCTTTCCTGCCTCATAGTCGTTGCAATAAGGCTGGTGCAGCTCCCACGAAGAAACTGCCCTTGCCCCACCGAGGCCCTGGGGCAGATGGCTGTGTCTCCCGATTTCTCTTCCATTGCCCGGGTCTGGCTTTCGCTTCAGTAAGCAATCAGATGTGACCTCAGCTCCACCACCTGGAGAATCACTGCAAGATCTGAGTCTTGGGTTTGGGGGTTTCCTTTCGAAGAAAGCAAACTTTCTGAATCTATGAGTTTCTATGACATTCAGACAGAATTTGGATCTGCCTGTGTCTTGATCTATGTCGATGTATGACGAAGATGATATCAATATCAGTATCCCAACCAGGAGTATGTGGCTAACAGTTCCCTGGAGCCCCAATCGTAAGACACTAAGCTCGGCCCCCTTTTACTGTGGCACACTGACTTTCTGAACTGTGTGTTTCAGCTTGTTCTATAATTAAAAGATGGCGTTCTTTAACAGACAATATTGCCAGTATTTTTGTAGTAAATATTCTTTGCAAAAGTCAGCAAAAGGTTAGATTCACTGATTTTTGTAATGTATGATAGATTTGGAGAAGCGAATATAGTGTTATCTGTTTGTACAATCCTCAAATACTTGAAATTTAATTTGATTGTCGTAATTGTCTAATGAAGTGGAGTTCTCTCTTTTTACAGCGGAGGGAACTGTTTTGCGGGAGGTTAAATGACCTGCCTACAGTCCCGAGTCAGGGAGGGAGTGGCTGGGTTCAGTGAGGTCCCTCAGACGTGCAAACTCAGGTCCCTCTGTGATTCCACACCAACTCTTTGTCCCTCCAGGATTCCCTCCTCTGGAAAAAGATACTGTTTTATACGATAGGAGCTCTAAGTGGAATGATAGCTGTTGGTCATTTTTTAAGGAAATCTTTAAATCAAACGCCATAATTTTAATCCATGCCAACTCTTTGAAGAGCATCGTATCTAGAGACATTCCCAAAAGAAACTACTGAACAATATTCCATATGCAGTAATTAAGAATCAGACATTTATAGCACAGATAAACACAAATCGAATGAATGAACGTCTTCCATGAAAACAGAGTTAGCAGCAAATTAAAAGAGATTTGCTTACATGGCAGCCTAAGGATCTGTCCCCACCAACAATCTTCAATAGGTTCTATCGTACCTTAAACCTCTGTGCAGGTGTAAAGTCCTGTCCACAACAGAACCCTGGTACCAGGAGTGCGCATGTGAGACCAGCCTCTCCCTTCCTCTTCCTCTTGCCTCTGCAGTGGGCCCCCTGGCCCACCTGGTCCCCCTGGCTCCCCCGGTCCTCCCGGCCCACCTGGCGTGCCGGATGGAGGCGAGGGCGTTGCTGAACTCGCTGTCGATGCTGCGGCAGCTGTAGAACTCCTCGTAGGCCGGCCTGGAAGAGCCCTGGTACTCGATGCGGCTGATGCGGCAGATCCCCACGATCAGGATGATCAGCATGAGGACGAAGGCGACGCACAGGGCCCCGATGATGATGTAGAGCGAGTGCCGGGGCATGTTGGTGAGGCTCTCCGCCATGTGCCCGGACTTCCACTGGAGGTCTGAAGGTGAGAACAAGCAAATCGCTGGCAACGAGCCGTGGCCTTTAGCACGGGAAGATCCTTCCCGCCCTTGCACGGGTAACTTAAAATCTAAGGGCCGTCCGCACTAGGAAGGATGATTCCCTACAGATAATAATGCAGATCCAGGGCTAATTAATATCGTCAGTGTATAACGACCTCTTACAAATCGTTCTGGAAAACCAGGAACATGCCACGGAAAAACAGGCAGAGGACGTGAGAGGAATTCACCAAAGAAACACATACAGAAAGCTGTTTAGCATTATTAGTATTTTTTTAATGCAATTCCTCTGTCAGTTCCCAAATATTCTATAAAATGTTGGGTAATGACGTTTGACAAACGTACAGAAATGGGGAAGGTGTAAGTTGACAGACAGCCCTTGTGTGGAGTAAATGCTGTATTCTCTGACCAGGAAATGCCAATGTTTGGAACTTATGCTGAGGAAAGTGTCCTATGGTACATAAAGCCATAAATACACAAAGCCCGTGTACGAGGATGCTGCTCTCGCCATCACAATTTTTAAATGTTAATTTATCCACTGTTACACATTTAGAAAAGGGTTCGGAAAATGAGCGCAGACACCCATGAACTCGCCAAAGTTAATAAATGTTCATTTTTTGTGTGAGTTTGTTTTCGACAAAACAAAATGTTACAGAATATAGCTAGAGTCCCCACTCTCATACTCTCTTTATCCCACCAATAGATGACACAATTTCTAAAAGTGGACAGGTGAGAAACAACCTAAATAGTGAACTCTTGGTGAGATGGAAAGATATTCATCAAGCAGCAAAAGGATAAGAGAAGGTTACCACACGGGACCTGGTCGTACGGTACGATTGCACGGGAGCATAAAATGTCTATCCACATGCTAAAAAGCCCAGAAGGACAGAGTGATAACAATGATAAACATTTGTTCTTTTCTTACTATGGACTAAATCTCTTTGAAAACATCTCATTTAATCATTACAACCACCAGAAGACATGTTCTTCTCTCTCCCCACTTAGAGATGAGGCCTGGGAAGATGACGTCACTTCCTGGGCAAGTCTGTCGGATGCAAGTCTCCATCCGAGTCCTTAGACTCTGCCTCTCACGGCAACATGTTAACAACAGTGATCTCTGCCAGACAGAATTACACATGACTTTTCTGCCTGTCTTTATACTTCTCAGGCCTTTTCCAGGTTTTTTTTTTTTAATAATAACGTATTCCTTTTACAATAATTTAAAAATGAGCAATAAATTATTTGAAGAAAACACCCATGGGGTTATCTTCCAAAATAACTAGTGGAAGGAATGTGCACCTTAGGATCACAGCAACCTTGCTTTCAATCCAGGCTACAACGTTTACTTGACCTCTCTTCATTTATAAGATGAAAATAGCAACATATACCCCATAGGCTTGCCGTGAGCATAAGCTAAAAAACACATTAAAAAAAAAAGTAAGAAAGTCCCCGGCTGCATATGTGGCAGGTGGTCCCTATGCAGAAGCAGCTCAGGTGGTGAAAGAGGAAAAGTTAAAGAGAAGGAGGCTGGTGTCCTCTGTGCCACATGCCCTGAGCTGAGGCTCTCGAGCATCACTCCAAAAAAGCACCAACCTGTATGCTCAAGGCAAAAATGGAAGGCTAGGGTGTAATCTGTGTGTCTGGCACAGATCAGGAGCGTCACTTGGGTCCTACTGACAGCCTTGCACACAGATAGAATGCTCTGTAACATGATCGAGATTTGAAAGGAAGCTGTGAAAATTAGAAAGGGCCAGGGAAGACCAAAGAGAAGCTAAGCTCCTGTCAAAAAGAGGATGCCTTCTCTGCTTGTACCGCCACCACCTCCAGGCCATCGCTGCCATGTCGGGACTCCAGGCGCCTGGAAATGGGTTCGGGGGGCAGGGAGGTGGGAATGGGGGCATGGGAACAGGCCTGAGTTCCTCAGGACTCTTCTCATTTTAGGGGAGAGTATTTGCAACCTCTTCAGTGACCACAGACTCTGAGAACCAGCTGTTCTTTGCCTTGAAACGTCACAGTCTGCAGAAGACAGATAAACACCCAAACGAGGATCCAAGCACAAAGACCCCATTTCCTAGAAGCCTCCTGGGAAAATGACACGTGCCCGGAGCCTGGATGGTGCCTGAGAGCTTAAGAAGAATGGGACGAATAAAGTGACTCCTGAGTTTGCGTCCAGATCTCATGACTCCTGCATTTTTCACGAGGCTTCACCCTCGAAGCCTCGCTTTGCCATGTGAGCCTGCCCACCTGAGCTCGCACCGCCCGTGGAGCAGAAAGACTAACCATCAGTACAGTCGCTGTTCCCTCTGAGCCAATGCACATACAGGCAGATGGACCGACATAAATCACTGCAAAGAAATGGTCGCAGTGGAAGACAGAACGTCTTTTGTGAAACTGGAACCGAGACCCCGCCCCCAAACCGGCAACCATTTCACTTGGCAATCACTAGGCACACTGAGAGACAACTCATTTTCCTGGCTGGAAGAGAAGCGTGACTCACTCGGTTTGCAAGTGTTTCAACATGCTCTGAAAAATCCAGTTGCAGGCTGGAGTCCAACACGCACAGAGCGTGCTATAACACTCACTTAGCATCAACACGGAGGCAGCCAGTGCTGTTTCTGCTCCGGCTCTGATTGCTACGGCAGGACCACCTGAGTTAGGGACCTCACGGCTGATGCACGACCTCGTGCAAATAGCTTATTTGAACTGCGTCCACACGGGGAGCACACAACCACAAGGCCGTGACCCCCGGAAAAACGACTGTGCCGGGTCCTGTGCCCTGCACGTTGTCCCAGGCCTGAGGAGCTGCCTAAACGCTCGCGTGTCTGACCATCTGCTCTGTTTCCCCAAACTCTGTATTCCAAGCTGTTTGGACTTTTGGGAAAACTTTCTCGAAATTTCTCCTAAAACCTCAGCTATCCACCTCCCTCCCTTCCCCGCATCCCCGCTTTTTATTTGCTTTTTCTGCCTATTGTCATCTACAGCTTCTCTGATAAGTAAATGTGGCTGCTTTATACACTAATCAGATTAGCAACCAGGCTGGAGGAGAATAAATCCAACGCTTGGTCTGAGAGGCAGCAAATTGATCTGCACCAGGTGGCGGCAGCTGCCGCTTCTGGGGCCACGTGCTCTCGTAAGTCATCGTTCTGCCACGTCCTAGAGTCCCAGTGCATGAATCATTTACTACGCTGGCTTCGGCACTGCTTGGGGAAGAATCATGCACCAGCGCCCGCGGGCTGAGGTGATCTCATCAGCCCCAGCAGGTGCGTGACCAGGATCTGTGTGCACAAACTGCTCAGGGAAAAAATGTCACAATTACGGATCTGAGGGATCAGTGGTATTTCGGCTTAAACTCCAATTTCTTGGAGGTTTTGTATTTTCCAAGTGCTTTTGCATTTACTATTTCAACTGGTCCTAAAATATCACCTTGAGCTAGGGAGAGGGGCTGTACCGGAAGGGATGCTCAAGGTGAAAGGCAGTTAATGGCCAAGCTGAGAATAAAACCAGACCTACCAACAATCTCCCCTCCACCAAAAGAGATGTCACTGGAGTCATTAATTGAATTCTAAGCTATAGTGTCCATATCTTTTTTTTTTTCATTTACCTAGGTGAATGTAGCTAGAATAGTTAATATGTCCACCTATTTATTTAAAAAGTATGAAAGTAAGTAAGTTGGGACTGTGTTTTGTTTAGACGTCACTTAGATAAGTAGATAATTTTTGAACCATCTGCTGCCTGGAACAAATGCGAGGAAGGATTTCAAATTTCTATATGTTTTTCACGGCTAAAAGTAAGCTGGACAATCAAAGGAGTTGAGACTGAAAAAAGTTAACAACTCTTATTAATCATAATCAGAAGAGGAAGGAGTAAGAAAGGGAATGGAAAGAAAAGCTCATCTTCTTCATAGGCACCTAGTCACTGAACAAATATTAACTAAGCACCTACTATGTGTCAGGTGCCTGACACATAGTGCTGGCTGTCTGAGATTAAGAGCAAGGGAAAATAGAAAAGTGGGCTCGTCGGAGGCTGGGATGTGGGGGAAAAGAAGAGATAAAAAAGAAAGAAAGACAGTAGAACGATGCTCGCCGGGCGCTGAGGGCAGGGGGTCATGGGAGTTAGTGTTTAATGGGCACAGAGCTTCGCTTTTGCAAGAAGAAAGTTCTGGAGATGGATGGTGGTGACGGTTGCACAACGATGCATGTAATGCCACTGAACATCCACTTAAAAATGGTTACGAGAGTTAATCTCGTATTATTTGTATTTTGACACAATAAAAAATTGGAAGAACATTTAAAAAGGGAAAAGGCTATATGTTCTTAGAAAACTTAAAGAAAAGATGCTTCTGACTGCATATGAAGAAAGGGTTTGAGGGGCTAGAATAGAAACCAAGTGACATTAAACAAATGGAGAAAATCTGCATAAACTACCATGGATAAACACTCAGTATATGATAAATATCAATATATTCTTAAGCATAAAAGCAAGAAGCTGAACGGTATTATAGAACATTCACATTTGTATGGGAGAAAATAAAGACTTACATACTGACCGAATACACCAGGGAAAATCCACAGTAAGGGGTTAACAATTGCTACCTCTGGGGAGTGAAATGGAGGTCTGAATGAGGAGAGAGATTCATTTTATTTTTTAAAAATCTAGCTGATATGAAAATACGAATCAAAGAACCCAACCGATTTGTACAATAAAGACAGCCCACATAACATAATCATTTGATAGGTTTCTTCAACCATCGTTAAAGCCCACACATTTTGAAGAGAAGAGGCCCAGGTCATTGTCTGTATCCCCTGCAGGCCCCTTCGCTGGGCTCCTGGAGCTGCCTGCACAAAGCCCTATGGCAACTCCCATTATGTGTCATGAGCCACCCCTGAGGCGGACACTGTGCCATTCATCTCTATATCATGTGCTCACGTTCGACGTCTGACAATAAGAGGCCCTCGATTATTGATTGAATGTGCAATCCAAGATGGCCTATCCACCTATTTCTCAACTGCAGAACATCACTAATTCAATATTTAACCATAGATTCAACTGTTCAGTGCACATAATTGGCCGACTGTCTATCAGCAAGATTGACTGTAACTCTAACTGTATAAACCCTAAGGCTCCTATACACGATACATAACACCACTATGTAAAGATTGACAGGAATTTTGATTTTTAGACCTTGATTCTTGGAAAGTAAAATTTTTATTAAAATCCCCCCACCAAAACAACAACAACAACAAAAAACAAAAACAAATAAACAAAAAACTATGATCAGTCCTAAGACTGTAAGAACAAGTAGCAGAGAATTAAAATTTTACCAGGGTTGTTAGTTAATTTCCAGAATTTAGGGTTTGCATTTGCCTCTGAATATGTATAAAACACCACAGCTACTTGATTGATTCTCTTAGGATAGTTCTGCATTAATCTTCTTGATGGTTTTAATAAATCTTTGTGGTCTACTCAATTTCCGCTTCTTACTAGAAGCCAAATAATAACTCTAAAGAGGCAAATTTCTAAGAAACATCCGTTATTGAGGTAGACACTGGGCATAGGACATAGCCATGGAGCCACTAAAATGGTATGTGAATCCCACTGAGCCTCAGAATCTCTAGGGATGGCTAATGAAAAAGTGATTCATTTCCCTGTGCAGCACCCTGCACAGGCGAGGGCTTAGTTTTCTGGATGTGTATGAACTCTAAGTGTGTATTTGTGAGTATCCCATATATATTTTATGCTGAATTTCTCTTTCCTTGTGCACTAGGAAACATTCCGTGGTGTTTTGTAAGGGAAAAGGCAAAATGAAGTATCTGCCTGATTATATTTGCGCTTCCTGGCAGAGTATGATACTGCTTTGAGGGTGGATCCTTTAATTCTAAAGCTAGAAGGAAGAACACTAAACATTTCATTTTATGGGTGATGAAACGGAGCTCTAAAAATGAATTCTCCTTCCTCCCCTCTTGCGGTTGGTCAGGTGGCGGGAGCCTCAGGCCTGGAACTGTTTCCTGTTCTTGAGAACAGCATTCATTCTACTTACCACATCCTGTGCCTTTCATTGGTTTGTCATGTTTATGCAAATATTCATCATAATGATTAAGATGGTGCTGTAACAGGAAACGCTGTTTCTAAATCATACCACAATATTACAGTGTTTAAGGACCCACGGGAAGAAGAAACGAGACACTCCTGGTAGGGTGCTCTAGTGGGCAGAAGCCTCGTCTCCCAGGGTCGAAGACGTCCTGGTTTTCAGAATCTGTGTGTTACCGTACATGGAAAAAGGGCCTTTGCAGGTGCGATTAAATTAAGGGTTTGTGGGTGGAGGGATTATCCTGGATTATCCAGGTGGGCCCAATGTTATCACAAGAGTCCGTGTAAGGTAAGAGAAAGAGAGAAGCATGAGAGCTGAGAGATGAAGGTGTACGAATGGGAGCAGAGGTCGGCACGATGCGACTGCTGGCTCTGAGGACAGAGGAGGGGAATGTGGACAGCCCCTAGAAGCTGGAGAAGGCAAGGAAAAAGATTCTTCTTTAGACAGCCCTGCTGCTGGCCCCAGTGAGACCCATTTTAGACTCCAGTCCTCCAGAATTAGAAGATGATAAATTTGTGTTGTTGTTTCAAGCCATTAAATTTGTGGTAACGTGCAGTAGGAAACTAATACGGGTGGCCGGGGAAGGTATCTGAGAAAGTGCCATTTAAGCTGAAACCTAGACGCTGAGAAGATACGTGTGCTAAAATCGAAAGCAAGAGAGTTCTAGGCATATGGAATAGTACAGGCAAAGGCCCTGAAGGCAGGAATGAACTTGACCTGTTCGAGGAAGAGAAGGAAGGAAAACGTGGCTAAAGCAGAGTGAGTAAGAAAAGGAGGCAGGCGACGTGGCCTCTGGAGGCAGAGGTCGGGCCCATGCAAGGCTCCCATGCTGCCTTTGACAGCTCAGCAGGTGCATGGGCCAGGCCTCCCTCTCGTCTCCGTGCACATCTGACCTTCCCTGACCTGACCTTACACCATCCAGGGAGCCTCTTCTTGGTTGCTGGACACTTCGGAAGCTCGCAGATGCCCACGGGGTTAAAAAGGGACCTCAGAGGCCATAGGTCCCGTGGCTCTACATGGCTGGAGGCCTCTTACATCTTCCCTGTCTGCTGACAGGCCAGACTCTGCTTGTAATGCTGGTCCTTGGATCCACTCCATGCGATTCAGATCCAATTCCCTAGACACTGGCCACTGACTCCAGCTACACTTCACTGGAAACTTCCATGCATGTTCTCCATCGTTACACTCAGGTCAAGGGTGGAAGCATCCAGCACTGTGAGCCTAATCTGTGATGACATTTATTTCAATACGTTGGTTTCATGGAGAGAGGCAAATGAGATCATCAGGTGGAAATCGCTGTTCTGGGCAAACAGAGAGCCCATGCGTGGACCAAGATGTGCCATCACCCTCGGCCGCTCGGGGTGGCCCATGCCCTGCAGATGCACTGTCTAAAAAGACAATTGCAAAGTTTCACCTCCCCGGGCATAGCTCCTAGTATAGGAGCTACAATAGTGTGGAAAGAAAGAGAGAGGTCAACTAGCATTTATTTAGTGCCTACTGCATAGCAGAAATACGCACATATTTGCCTCCTTTAATCCTCACAGCCACCTTCCTGTCACCATTTTACAAGTGAGAAAGACGAGGTTCCAAGAGGTAAATTTGCTTGTACAGGTCACATAGCTAGAATATGTAGCCAACTTTTATCCTTTTTATTATTTCATCCTTGTGTGTCCTTTTACTTATACTATCATCGTTGGAAGTAAAATTTAGATTTTTTTATAATTATAGAATTTTATCTCAGAACTTCCTGAAGGTATTCTGTGCGCCCCTGACTTATCCACACTCTCTTACATACTTATTTTCGCAACTAAGATTTAAAAGCTATAAATTAGATATTCTGCCCCAGGGTGCAAAATTTGTCATTTCACAATATTACCAATTTTTAGAATGAAAACTGGTCCCGTTTTATGGCTAAGTACACTGAGACACAGCACAACAAAGTACAGCCACATGGGAGTGCCAAGGCCAGGGTGGGAAGTAAGATCCTACTAACCCAAGTCTGCAGTCTTTCCCACCAAAGACCCTGCCAGACTGGACTTAACATCCTACACCGATTTTAGTCTTCGCGTCCTACACATCACAGCCCTTAGCATCCCTTTCCTCCTCTTTCTTCAACAAGGGAGTGTTTCTCACTCATCTTCAGCAAGGACAGTGGGTCCGAGGACCATTCTGTTTAGGAGCATTTGGGAAGGCTGAGGAGGAGGCCTTAAAACCTTCTTCCCTCTCAACCTCTGAGTCAAGAGCAAAGACAAAGAGAGAGCAGAGAAGAGGCCAAATAGCACCTTCGTTACTGGTCAAGTTGAAGTTGGAGAATCTGGTCCATATCTGCGAATAAGGTTTCCTAATACTAACCACCTCCGCCTCAGACGCACACTGAGAATCAGACGAGCCCATCCAACCACAGTCAGCGTGGACCATGAGTGAGAGGCCCGCTCCTGAAACATGTCATGGAGCGGAGGCAGCCGACAGGCCAGCTCAGAAGGAGACAGACAGACAGGGCCATGTAGACATACCTTCCCCCTGTGAAACTCACAGCAGATGAGCTGTCTTGACCCGATGAAGAGTAGGGGACGGGGTGAGAGGCCCCGGGAGTGAGCTCATGAAAGATCCAACTGCCCCAACTAAATTCAATTAGAAGGAAACACTGTCCAAAGGTGAATTCTTAGCAATTTACAAGACAACTGAAAACCTGATTCCCTGTCATTTCTCATTTTCACCTCGACCCTAGTAGATACACTGTTTTAAGGTATAAAATCTTGATTCTGACATTTCAAACTTCTGTGCTCATCTTTAGAGAACACTCAGCTCTCAGCAGCTCAAAACGTTTTTCAAATTTTCTTTTATGCTCATGCTCACTGGACTCTTCTCCAGACATCTGATGGAACCTAATACATTTGCAGACACTTCAAGACAGAAACGCAAGGTGAATTTACATTCAGCGTGGTTTTTTTTATGTTTTCAACACAGAGACTCTATTTTGTGACATGATCCTAATGTTCTCGGGTTAGCACATTTTTGGCTGTTTGGCAGCACTGAACTCTGGATGACATCTGCACGTCCTCGTCTCAGTGGAAATGCTGAATTCAGACTCAGGAAAGGAGTGCAAGTGGCATAATACGGTGAGCAAAAAATATGACACTAGGATCTGGGAGGCATGGTGACTCAGGTGATCCCTCTGGGCCTCACTGCCTCATCTGGGAGTGACGTGGGGCTGGCTGGACATGGTCAGTCCCTCTTCTTGATGAATGAAAATGTGAGGCTGAATGACAGCAGCTGAGCGGCAGAAATACTTACGGATTTCACAGTTTGCTCCCACCCAGCCGTGTGGGCAGTGGCAGGTATAACCATTGGACTGGTCCAGGCAGGTGCCGGCATGGTGGCAGGGGTTACTGTCACATTCGTTGATGTCAATGTCACACTCTTCGCCTAAAGAGAGAAAGAAAAGTGGCCGTGAGGCAGCTAGGTGCACCAGCGGCTCTGTCACCCACCACTTCTCTGGCAAAGCAAAGATGGGAGGCTGGGGTCATGATCTCTAGCGATGGAACACGATTCGCCGCTTGCATAAAGCACAGAACTCTCCCAAAATTCCAGGCAATGGATCGTTTACTTAAGTAAAACTTCTAAAGAAAGAAAAAAAAAAATGGTACTGGTAAAAAGAATCTTCTTTAATCTATTAAACGAATTAACTGACGCTGATTCCCATGTTTGAACAAACCTTTTAAAAGTTTATCCGAAAAGCAAATTTGGGTTCCTAATTTTATTAAAGAAATCTAGTTTATTTTGTATTTTGTCGGCTGAATCTTCTCACTTATTTTTCTGAGACTCCAGGAAGCTGAAAACTTAGAGTTCACGATTTTTTTTTTTTTTTTGTACCGAGGGTTCGTGTGTCTGGACATTTGACTTTTTCTGGATAGTTCTAAGGCACAGCTATGTGCCTAGATTGGGTCAATTATGAAAATTTACTCCACTTCCCAAGTCCCAGGCTGCACTGAAAGGCTTGGAAAGAGCATCAGGCCACCGGAGAGACAGCTATGACGTCTGAGGACAATAATTTTCCCCGGGCAACGGTGGCCCAGTCTTGTCCTTCCCCCATAAAGAAAAATGTGACCTAGAGCTCCTGACCCGGCATTCTGGGACACCCCTGTCCCCCCTGAGGGAGAGCCTGATTTAAACTTATGAACCAGGACGCAAGCTGATGTCACCGTGGTCCAAACCCCACTTTACAGGAAAGAGCTTGTTATTAGAGTTACGTGGACGAAGACATCTTTGGGTGATTAGAAAGCCACACTGTAAGTCGGTACAAACGGGGTGTGCTTCGGAAATTGAAACGCATCTCATCGAAGCTGAATAGAAGAGGACACTTCACATTGAAAGCAATCTCTCTCAAAAGTTTGAAAATGAGGAAAAGAAATTTTTTGATATAGGCCTCCGTTCGCTTAGATAAATGTAAAAATTGATATTAAAAAAAAAAAGGGAAAAAACCCTCCTAGCACTGCTATAGTAATAGACGAAAGCAAAGGAGCAAAATCAAATATTTCGTCCACTTTCAAATGGCAATGTGTCGGTGTACACTTGCGTAATTACTTCCAGGCTTACTTAATTAGCACCGAAGTACTTTTCTATCTGTTATTGATTTACTTTGCATTTATAAAACCACCATATGACACTCACGGACCATTTTAGAAAAGGAATCTCACACTAAAATATTTCATGTATGTTTCATTTCACGTTCCTTTCATACCCGGCATCCGACTATTTCATTTTTGAAGTAAAATCTGTCAAACGAGACATGTACTTCCAGGTCCTAGTAGGTTGATTATAATTCACTAGTGTCTAAGTGAATTTGTTTCTCCAAGTAAATATCGTCATTTACGTCAATAGGAAAGACATGAAACTGATTGCCTCTTACTAACCTATTTCAAGGGTTGTCTTTCTATTAATGGGGCAATCACTCTGAGCAAGAAGGGCAGAGACGAGACTATTACAAATGGCATTACGTGGTAGTCTGGTTGAAGAGACATATAAACAATAAAGTACTGAGAAATACTACAAGAATGAAATCAAAGGCCTTGACAAATATATACATCGCCTCTACTTTCCAACCATTTAGGAAGACAAGCCAAATTGAAGTATTTACTAAACAATAGCTTTCTTTAGCTGGCAATCAGAGTACTGCAAATTCTGATATAAGATGCCTTGTTGTCTTTGCAACAATGGCAGTAGAAACGACCTGACTTCTCCCTACTTCTAGGGTCTGACAAAACTCAAAAGCCCACTCTGCTCCAGAAGTCCAATGTCAAACGCTTCTAATTCCTTAAACTATGGGTAATCCCAGAGCTGTTCGTCCAGTCCATCCAGTCCTGCTCCGCTCTGGCCCAGAGCTTCCTCAAGGAGGTAAATGCCAAATGCAGGATCCAGAGCCACCCTAGTGTGTGCACTTGGTTCTTGGACCTCTAATATAATCAGGAGAAGTCCAAGTGTTCTTGGGAACCACTATATTGGAAGGATTTGGGAGAAATAGAGAATGGCAGGAGAAAATAAGATGAACTCTTTCTCTAAACATTTATCAAATATCTAAAACCCGGAGAGAATCCCAAAACTTTCCCGCTCTGGCTTTCATCACCACAGGGTCCCTAGAGCTATACTGGAGATTAAATGACATTAGTTAACGATATAAACTCCATGCCAGCCGGGGGCCCAAAGAGCTATTCCACAGCACTTGTGCTCTGGCAGAACGCTGGAGCGACAGAGTTCGCAGATACCTTGAGATTTACTCTAATGGCCTATTTTACAGACTAACACTCTTATGCTTCCCGTTGAATCCGTGTTCCCCCAGCTGGCTCTCAGTTTGATGCCTTCGCTGTATCACATGCTGGGGGAAGGAGTACGGAGTATCCCGATGATGGAGGCACTCAAGGAAAATTTCGACCAGAAGACTCCTAACAAAGACTGTTCTCTGCCTTACAGCGATCACGCTTTTTGCCATCAGTCTTACACAAGTCATTTAAAGATTTGTAATGAATTATGAAGAGCAAGTTTGGGTTCATTTACATTTCTCTATATTGAGAGTATTATGTATTTTTTATACATTTCAACACCCCATTATTCCAGTCCCAAGCAATATGTAGTCTAGCTTATTTTACTAGAAAAGTTCTTAGTATATCATATCATCTTTCTTTACTCATAATTGACTTAATAAATCGCTATGCTTTTGCTGGCTTTAGCCAAATGACTTTTTCATTGATTTGCTTATTTTTAAAAAATTTGCATTGGAGAAAAATCAATTTTAAATCGCTGTCGTGCGCAAATAACATTTGTAAAGAGAATACAAAATGAAATTTCTACTTGACTAAGGCTAGAAATCGGAGTCTGAAATTTAAATCTTTCACAATTGATTTTTAATCTACTACTTTCTAAGAGGCAATATGTATCATAGACATCAAATTTGGTAGCATTTATGCAAATTTATAAGTGTACTATTTAACTTATCTTTCCTTAGATAAATTAAAATGAAAAAGATTTTTAAAAAATCAAAAGTCACTGCTGTTAGTAAATTCTTGGGTTAACAGAGCCCACATTAAATGATATCGATGAAAATCATTATAATCATAATACCTTGTATTAAATATGTGCCTACTATGTGCCAAGCACTGGACTGGGTGCTTTACTTCTGCCTTCATACTTGACAAGCATGTCATTCCAGATTAAATGAATCTTAAAAAGTATTTGGAATTTCTTCTACCAGGATGGAGTAACTGGAACCTGTCTTGCCCTCCCACTGTAAATAATTAGACAAGTGGATGAAATATATGTTTTTTAAAAAATACTTTTAAGACATTGGACAACAGGCAGAGCATGACCGTGACTGCTGAGAGAAAAAGAAACAAAACAGCTGAGTACCATGATCATCTTGGCTTTCTGCCTGGAGTCAATTTAAAACAGAATGGTTTCACCGAGCTGAGAAGAACTGGATTTTGTAGAGACCGAGAGAGTTGTAATTTGTAGGACGGACTACCACAGAAGATACAGCCACTCGTAAAAAGAGCATAAGGAATATGCTGTGTCCCTCGAGTCTGTTACTGAGTTTTATGCGTGAGTAAATGAAGCTCCACAGGCCTGGGAAACAAGATAAAAGATGAACAGTTTCCAAAGCTCACAGAGGACTGGGAAGGATCCAAACTCTCACAAGTCAGAGTACAGATATTTCATTGATCATCCAGTGCATTCACCTTAGCAGGAGAGCATGACATTCCCTGAGTAAAAGGTACCATAGACTCATCCCCCCAAATATTAAAAATGAACCTTGAAAGGATCAGTCAGGTTGACAAGTAACTTATTTACTTGCCACAAAAAAAGGCCAGCACTTTTAAAAGAAAGACAATAAATCCAATCACTCAACGACTTTACTAACAATGTCCGGCATCAAACAAAAATTATTAGACAGGCAAAGAAGCAGACATGCGTAACCCATAACCAGAAGAAAAATCTGGTTTTTCTTCTGTTCAAAAGACAGAGACCTAGAGGTAACAAATGATGGCGAGTAAACAAGGAGTCTGCTCAAAATGTAAAGGAAAACATGAAAAAGCAATGAGAGTAAAAATGGAAGATATAAAAAAGAACCAAATGAAACGTCTAGATATGAAAAAATACCAAATTAAAAACAAAACAATACAGAGCAGTATTAACAGATTAGATGCTACAGAATAAAAGATTAGCAAACTTGAAAATAGAGCAATAGAAGCTAGACAAGCTGAAGCTCAGGAAAAACATGTTTTTAAACTTAACAGAGACTCAGTGATCAGTTTTACAATTTTTAGTAGTTTATCACAGATGTAATAAGAGTCCCAGGAAATGAGGAAGAGGCAGAAAATAATATTTGGTGGAATAGTAGCTAAAATTTTTCTAAATTTGATAAAAACTGTAAGACCACAGATCCAAGAAGTGCAACAAATCCCATGCAGGATAAACACCAACAAAATCACACCAAGGTACATCATAATCAATTGCTAAAAGTCAATAATAACGGAAAAAATCTAAAAACAGTCAGAATGAGACTTCCGCTTCCAAAAAGATGGATCAGAAATATTTTTCCTATATCCCTCACTAAGTACAAGCAAAACCCTAGACATTATGTGTAAAACAAACATGAGACGATCTGAGAGGTCAAGAGGAGACAGAGCAGCTAGGAACCTCAGGACCCAAGGAACAACACGATGGTGAGCTTTCTGAGTCTCCTTTTGACCCCATATATTCCAGACCAGGTGCTGGAAAAGCCAGCAGCCCAGAAATGCCAAAAGGCGCAGGGGGGAAAAAAGTCCCAAGTATATAACCCACTCATAAATAATCCATGGTTCAAAAAGAAAATCTAAAGGAATCCAAAAAAAATTGAACTAAATGAAAATGAAAATACAAAATAAAATTTGCAGGACACAGCCAAAGAAATATGGAGGTGAGAATTTATAGCACTAAATGCATACATCAGAAATGAGAAAAAGTCTCAAATCAATAATCTAAGGTCCCATCAAAAAAAGAGCCTAGAAAGAGAAGAGCAAAATAATCACAAACTGAAAGCCGATCTCATAAGGTAAATGTGACATTGGATTGAATACCTAACTATATAACAATGATCTGCCAACTTCACTCCACTCAGTCAATTAGGGAGCTTTTGAGCACTTAATAGTTGGCCAACAGTAAGTTTTGCTAAACCTCAGGTATAATGCAAGAGTATCTGGTTCCAAGGTAGCAGTTCAAAGAGCAGAGGCACCATTGTTCCTTACGTGGTGGTAGTAAATATCTTATCGACCTCTCCAATGCAATTCCAGCTCTCAGAATACAATAGGTTCTTTTTAAAGGGGGGAATAAATGGTTCTATGATTAAATATATTTGGGAAATAAAGGCAAATAAGATTCTTTACTGTAAGCCCTCTGAGCCTTAGTATGCAGACATCTCATGAATCTCCATGTGGCGTCTACTGTATCCCAAATTTACTTGGCCACAGACATTTTTTCCGTGGAGCATCTCATGGGACCAGTGTTCTGTGAAACACATTAACGGTTCAACTTTCCAAACAATTTGAGGAACTATTCGATGGTCCTTTTCATTTTAAAAGATTACCAGAGATGACTAGAAATAGACATCTGTTGTTTTCAAAGACCAATTAGTGTGATGTTTGAACCTACTTCAGTGGAAGAGTCCTCCTGCGTGCTATGATCGGGGTGAGGACCATAAAGAAAGGCCTAGGAGTGGGGGATGGGAGGATGGATAAACAGAGGACTGGGAGGCAGGAGACAGGAGGAAAAAACATCACTGAGAAGAATCTGGGGTGTTCAGAATCAAGCAGGTGAGGGGCCCTGGAAATGCTGAATGGGGCCAGACCACTCACGTCCCGATGGTCAAGTTAAGGGCTTTGACCTTTTTCTGAAAGACAATGAAATGTCAATAGGCAATTTTTTTCCCCAATAGGCAAATTATAAGTAGGGAGCACCAAGATTAGATTTTCAGGAACTATGTAAATATGTAAGTATGAAATACGTAAGTATTCTCCTGGACCTTGGGATTTCATGCTTGGAAAATTAGCTCAGAAGATAATCAGATAAGTTCACAGAGACGTCCTAGGGGTGATGAGAAATAGGTGTGGGGAGACCAGTCGGCAGGGGCTGCACTCATGCAGGCAGGAGCTGAAGGTCGCCTTGCGTTGCCTCTAGGGAGAAGTGAGAGCCTCTACAGGGTTTTCAGGGGCCTTTGGTTGTCGGATGCAGGTGAAGAGGAATAAGAGGAGAGTACCACAGTATTCCCCAGTTCCTGTCCAGAATTTCAGGTGGTAGTAACACCATTTAATGAGCTAGCAAATATTTAAAGAAAGAAAGGAGAAGAAAATCTCTAAGTTTGAGGTGTCTTTGAGAGACATCCAAGAGTCAGTGCTGAGTGGGCAGGTGGAGATTTGCTAAATATTCTGGAGAAGAGATTGTATTTTATTTCCCATAAGATACCAAGATAAATTTCAAATGGATTAAACATTTACATGAACAAAATGAACTCATACATGAATGGAATAAAATAGGGGTGTATTTATAAAACTTGATGCATATAGGTTCTTTCTAGCACAAAACAAAAAAAAAATCAAGATTTAATTATATAAAATTTAAATATGATATATGGAAAATAAAACAATCCCTTTATAAACATTTAAATGGCAAATGACAGTGGGAAAATATTTGCAACTTATGGCAGATAAAATGCAATAAATTTATTATAAAGGGCTATTTCGAATCAAGAATGGAGAATAACATAAATGGCCTCGGAGAATAGCGAACAAAGGATACAGATAGAGTTTATAAAAGAAGAAACACGAATGGCCATAAACATATTTAAAAAGTATTCCACCTCACTAGGAATCAAAGAACTACAAATTAAAACAATACTTCAATGCATTTTTAGCCACCAGAATGATGATTCTCAATATTTGTGTGACAACAAAGAAATAGATACTCCTGTGCACTCTTGGTGGGGTGACTATCGGTAAAATGGTGTTTCCTGGAGAGAAATATGGAAATATGTAAGTATTCTCCTGGACCCTGGAATTTCATTCTTGGGAAATTAGCTCAAAGAAAAAGTCAGATAAGCACCCAGAGACATACATATAAGAACATTCATTGCAGGGTTGTTTCTAACGGAAAAGTTATCAACTCTCCCAAGGCTGAATTGACAATGGGTTAAAAAAAAAAATGATATTTTATATACTGGACTAAAAGGCAGCCAGTAAAAATGATAAAATAAGAGCATATTTCTTGATGTGGAAACACATTTATGATATACATATATTTGTGAGGGAGAAGGAGGTTACAATATAGTATGAGCAGTATGATTCCTTTTATGTTCAAATAGATGTACAATTATATCAGGGTTATTAATTACCAGTCATTATCCCTAGCTCCTCGTAGTGAAGTTTTAAGTGATGTTCTTCCTATCGCACTATACTTTCCAATTTTTCTTCCACGCTTTTTATTATTCGTGGGATAAAAATATCTGAAAAAAAAAAAAACAGGATGCTTCCCCAATATTATTTTTGCATCCATTGATGAGTGTAAATGTCTCTGTGTGTGTGTGTTTATAAACCAGTCAGCAAAACAAAACCATCTGCGAATGACTTTCTGGAGTGAACCCACACCCCAGTCCCAGGCGAACCCGAAAGGAAAGCACAGGATGTGACAGAGACAAATAGAAAGATCAGAAGTTGCTTCTCCCACATTTTGACTGTTGGCATGCTCCCCAGAAGCACGAATGGGACTCCCCAGGAATGGGCTGGGGACCCAGGCTCTGGGAAGGTGGTGATTTAGCAGGGGAGAGGTGAGCTGGCAAAGTCTCTCCAGCCAACGACAACATGGTGTCCTGCAGCTTAAATACTCATCTGCTCCTACGGGCTCCTTGCCCGTCAGCCTTTCCCAACCTGCAAACCAGAGTGACCCCAGTACTTTTGTTGGTTGAGCAAAGCTCTGAAATCATAGACGTGTCCCCTGCTCTACACATTGGGACAGAGTGTCCCGGGTTCTGTCGGCAAAGCAAAGGGTGGAACC